CGGCTGGTGTCTCCTCGCGAACAACTGATGGAGGCGCTCCTGAGTGAGGAGATCCTGGAGGAGCAAGGCTGCGAAGGGCGCCGCTGTACCGCCAACGAGCACTGCTGCGGCGGCCACGTCTGCGTCGACTTCGATGGTGGTGAGTGTAATCAAGGCTCATAAATACGTACATGCAGATATGTGTGTGTGTGTACGTGTGCAAAATGCATCCATACACATACATGAACAACCCTTTAAACACATGCGCCTGCCTATTTACATATAAATCCATTTATACATATATCCCATATACAGACGGACGGATGCGTCGATTCATAGATATGTACATTACTCTTTCATGCGTAATTATACTGTTAACTTTTGTGAAGTGGATTTCATGCTGCGAATATTAAATTATATTTTACAGCTTAATTATTTTGTGTTAGAAAGTTTAACGACAAAGAACATTACGCATTTATTCTTAAGTACGTTATTTTAACAATACGGTATAACAAGCAACATTCGTCTTGCTGCTACTATAAACCACGTCCAATTTAGCTTGCTGCTACTATAAACCATGTCCAATTTAGCCGTCACACAACTTAGTTAAATGCGGAGTGAATTGTCCGTAGATTTTCTCGCCAGTGAAACTTCCCCCAAATGAAACGTTAGGATTACCAATGATATCTACGTACGAATTCTCCAAACACAAAACAAGATGTGAATTCCTTTCTCAAGATCCCCTCCCACTAATCTATATAAGCGACGGCAGCTGTATTTTGCGGCTGTATTCCCATCGTGGTAACTATAGTCGTTAGCCGTAAGGGACAGTTAAATAATTACATCACTCCTCCATTCAAGAGCACCTACATGGTCCAGGCATTACGGTATTACTTGGTCTAATGAAAATTGGCACATCCACGTGGCTTTATTCAGAAATATTACACCACCTAAATTAGCTGATAGATAGGTGAAAAGTTAATCAATAAAAAAAAACAAAAAAAAAAACACTATTATATATATATGTATATATGTATATCTGGGTGTGTGTGTGTGTGTGTGTGTGTATGTGTGTGTGCATATATACCTACACACATCACGAATCATCTTCACCCCCCCTCTCCCTCCCCCTCCCCACCTTCATCCCGGACCTGCACCTCACCCCCCCCCCACCACCACCACCACCTTCTCCATCTTTATCTTCTCCCCCTCTTCTCCATCTTCCTCTTCTCCCCCTCTTCTCCCCTTCTTCTCCCCTTCTTCTCCATCCCCATCTTCTCCCCTTCTTCTCCATCACCATCTTCCCCCTCTTCTCCATCTTCCTCTTCTCCCCTTCTTCTCCATCTTCCTTTTCTCCCCTTCTTCTCCATCTTCATCTTCTCCCCTTCTTCTCCATCTTCCTCTTCTCCCCTTCTTCTCCATCTTCCTCTTCTCCCCTTCTTCTCCATCTTTATCTTCTCCCCCTCTTCTCCATCTTTATCTTCTCCCCCTCTTCTCCATCTTCATCTTCTCCCCTTCTTCTCCATCTTCCTCTTCTCCCCTTCTTCTCCATCTTTATCTTCTCCCCTTCTTCTCCATCTTTATCTTCTCCCCCTCTTCTCCATCTTCCTTTTCTCCCCTTCTTCTCCATCTTCATCTTCTTCCCCTCTTCTCCATCTTCCTTATCTCCCCTTCTTCTCCATCACCATCGTCTCCACTACCAGCTTCATCCTGTGAGTGAAGCGCTCGAGGCGATGGGCGGGGGCAGCGGAAGAGGCACTTGGAAGCGAGGTAAATGGTGGATGGAGAAGACGATAAAAAAGGGAACTGAGGTAGAGTGAAAGGAAGGAGAATTACGGCGAGGACGGGAAATGCTGTAGGGCGAAGAGGCAGATATTGGATATGGAGAAAAAGAGGGAGAGTGAGAGGGGGAGAGAGAGAGGGGGAGAGAGAGAAGGGGAGAGAGAGAGAGAGAGAGAGAGAGAGAGAGAGAAGAGAGAGAGAGAGAGAGAGAGAGAGAGAGAGAGAGGAGAGAGAGAGAGAGAGAGAGAGAGAGAGAGAGAGAGAGAGAGAGAGAGAGAGAGAGAGAGAGAGAGAGAGAGAGAGAGAGAGAGAGAGAGAGATAGAGAGAAGGGGGGGAGGTGAAGAAGAAAGACAGAAAGTGGAGTGTATCGATAAATCTTCAACAAGTAGATAAATAGACAGACAGATATATATACATATAGACAGATAGATCGATAGATAGACAGATAGATAGATTGATTGATAGATAGAAAGGTAGATAGATAGATAGCTATAGATATAGATACATATAGAGCTAAATAAGCAGACAGATAGATAGATAGACAAATAAATATGTATATAGATAGATAGATATGTAGATAGATAGATAAAGAAACAGATATAGATATGTATATAGATAGATAAAGATAGAGATACAGATATGTATATAGATAGATACGTAGATAAATAGATAAACAAAAAGATACAGATATAGATATAGATAAATCATATAGACAGACGGAGGGATATAGATATCTAGACATAAATATGCTGCAGGTATATCGATACCCTCCACGTATCTTCCCTTCCCTGCGGGACTAATAAACACCGAGCATGACAGACTCACAGATATTTCCTGACTTTCCTCGAGGAACGGGATACGGGAGGGAGAGAGAGGGAGGGGAGGGAGAGAAAGACAGAGAGAGAGAGAAGGAGAAAGAGAGAGAGAAAGAAAAAAAGAGGGGAGGGAGGGAGGGAGGGAGTGAGGGAGGGAGGAAGGAAGAGAGAGATAGATAGACAGAGAGAGAGAGGGGAAGGGGGAGGGAGGGGGGGGGAGGGAGGGAGGGAGGGAGGGAGGGAGGGAGGGAGGGAGGGAGGGAGGGAGGGGAGGGAGGGAGGGAGGGAGGGAGGGAGGGAGAGAGAGAGAGAGGAATAGAGAATCTAAGCTCAACCCCAGAAGACAGAGAGACAAAAAGAGAGACAGAGGCAGACAGAGAGAAAGACATACAGTCAAACAGGCAGACATATACACAGAAAGAGAAAGAGAGAGAGAAAGAGAAAGAGAAAGAGAAAGAGAGAGAGAGGATCCAAGCTCAACCCGAGAAGAGTTAAGAAAAAGGGAAATGTAAAACGAAAAAAAGAGAGATTCAATGATAAAAAAAGTTGATATGGATGATGAAAATTGCTACGAATACTGGATGAAAAGTAAAGATAAATAAAAAGATAAATAAAAAAATAGAAAGGTAGATTTCGAGGAGACGAAGATGGTGATATAGATGAAGACGGAGGAAGCAGGAAGAAGAAGAAGAGAACAAAGATAGAGAAAACGTAGGAAGGAAAAGGAGGGGAAAGTATAGAGGGAGAAAAGAGGATGAGGATGGGTGTAAGAAGGGAAAACAGAGAAGAAAAACTGGAGAGAAGAGGTAGATAAAGAAAAGAAGAAACACAAAGAGGGGGAAAAAATGTAAAAAGAGAGGAGAGAGAGGAATAAAAAGGAAAAAGCAGAGAAACAGAAGACGCAGAAAGAGGAGGAGATGGATAAAGATAAGAAGAAACACAAGGTGAAAAGAAATGATAAACAAGAGGAATAAGAGGAAGGAAAAAAAAAGAAAAGAAAAAACAGAGAAAAAGAAGAAGTACAAAGAAAAATGGATATTAGTTCACGAGCAGATCCACTTCTGAAGTTACATTTCAGAACGGCTTTGTCGTAATGTTGATAATTGCGAGTAACCAAACCAAATACATTAAAATAAAATAGATAAAACACAGACAAACACTTAATCAGGTAAAGGCAAATAAAACAGAATTGCAAATAATAATAATAATAGATACATAAGTAAATAGATAAATAAATAAATAAAATAATAATAATAATAATAATAATTATTATTATTATTATTATTATTATTATTATTATTATTATTATTATTATTATTATTATTATTATTATCATTATTATTATTATTATTATTATTATTATTAATACTATCATAAAATAACAATGATAATAGTAATAGTAATAATAACGATAATAATGGGGATGATAATAATAATAATAACAATGATAACGATAACGATAATGATAACGATAACGATAATGATAATGATAATGATAATGATAATGATAATGATAATGATAATGATAATGATAATGATAATGATAATGATAATGATAATGATAATGATAATGATAACGATAACGATAACGATAATGATAATGATAATGATAATGATGATAATAATAATAATAATAATAATAATAATAATAATAATAATAATAACAATACGATAATGATAATGATAACGATAACGATAACGATAATGATAATGATAATGATATGATAATGATAATGATTAATGATAATGATAACGATAATGATAATGATAATGATGATAATAATAATAATAATAATAATAATTATTATTATTATTATTATTATATTATTATTATTATATTATATTATATATATATAGAGAGAGAGAGAGAGAGGAGAGAGAGAGAGAGGAGAGAGAGAGAGAGAAAGAGAGGAAAGGAAAGCGAGAGAAGAGAGAAAATAAGGAGCTACGTAGCGCGGATGATGTGTAGTCAGTCGCTCTCCTTCTCCCGATCTGCTCCGCTGTCCTGAGACGCACCTGACCAACAAACACTAAGCCTGCCTCTCTGTGTCTCACAAACTACGAACTAAAACTAAGAGTGTAACTGAGACTTAAAAGAACGCGGCTCAACGAGGGAATGTAACGCAGAGTATAATGTAAAATGCTCTCGTTGACGTAATAGATGGGGGCGTAGACATGGATATTAGGGAGGGATCTGGAGCTAATCAATTGTACTTAAAAAAAAATAGTTACAGTAGTAGGCGTATAAGGAAAGGGTAGTAGTTATTTTAAAAGGACATGCAGAAGCAAATGTTGAGATAATAATAATAGTAATAATAACGATAATAATGGGGATGATAATAATAATAATAATATATATATATATAGAGAGAGAGAGAGAGAGAGAGAGAGAGAGAGAGAGAGAGAGAGAGAGAGAGAGAGAGAGAAAGAGAAAGAGAAAGAGAAAGAGAGAGAGAGAGGAAAAGAAAGAGAAAGAGAAAGAGAAAGAGAGAGAGAGAGAGAGAGAGAGAGAGAGAGAGAGAGAGAGAGAGAGAGAGAGAGAGAGAGAGAGAGAGAGAGAGA